CGGCAAATAGGCAATAAACCTAAACCCATACGTTAGCTCCAAATTTAAATGCAGAATACCAGCCCCCTTCAAAAACTTTCTTCAATTAACGCCACCAGAATTTCTGTACTGTCACTTTTATACAGACAGTAAATAAGAATTTACAACAAAAGTTATTAGAAAAATTTTCAGAATTTAATCTGCATAGGGGTTTGCCATACTGACATATTTTTAATGTGCCTTTTCTACATCAGTACACAGCAAACTTCTCCATTTTATTTTTCATAAGCAATTATAAGACTTGCTGTACATGGAGCAAAATACTTTTTTCTGCATGCTAGTTTCATTTCTCACATGATAATTTATTCAGTGTTAGCATCTGTCATTATGTATTTTATGACTATCTAATTGTCCTCCACTCTTCTATGATACAGGTAATTTTAGAACTCATATTAGAGTTTAGCATACCTAGTGGTACAAAAAGTGTTGCTATTATGTTCTGCCTTGATTACATTCACAGTTTCAGAGCAGTCAAGTCTTTTGTCAAGTATTTGCTAAGTGACTGTGATATTAAGGGACTTCAATTATGGAAAATTTATAAAATGTTACCACAGCATTGGATTAGCTATAATTCAAAAGGAAACTATTTGCGTCCAGATTACACAGTTACAATTCTTTTCCAAATACAAACATATAATAGATTAAATCTACTCTGTCATTTTTCCTCACTTAATTTGATTTATATTAATTTTGAGCTTATCTGTAAACAAAAAGCATATATTTAGCAACATCAAGGCACAAGGGAAACTTCTCTTACTCGTAGTATTGGGAACCTATTCTCAGGAAGCAGTCTAACAGGAAAACTGGAATAACACAGCTGCTCAGTGATCTATCTGCAGCCAGGTAACATCAGGTTCACAAGGGAAATTAAAGCCTAGAGTGTGGCTATTATCCATAGAAGGTTGCACTTTAATTCTACAAGAGAAAAAAGCTTTCTCATTTGGCAATATTGCTATTATAAATTTATTCACAAGTACTAATTGAATGTTTAACAGACCACCTTGGGAGGTTTTTTGTTTCTAGATATTGAAATCTTGGGTAAATATCCCTAAGTTGGAATGATATAGAAGTAGGGAGCTATAGCATATAAAGAAGATCTGTGGTTTTCCAAAACTGTTTTGTATTGATTGCAAGACATGAAAAAGCCTTTCCTGCTCCTCAATTTATTCACAAAGCCTATTCTTTAAAGAAAAATCCTGTTTGAGAATTTTCATTTCTTACAAAAATGTGCATAAGGAAGGATACAAATACAGATACCTATTACAGAGAATATGAAATAGAGTAAAACGTTAAGGCTTTTTTTAACTGCAGCCAAGATTTCTTAAAGGAAGCACTTCCTAATAGCATGGAGAAAGCAGCTTCAGAATGAACATGTATAATATTGCTGTGTCTGACAGAAATTGGGATTAGTAACAGTCAGATTGCAGAATGTGTGAAAAAAAACATAACTTCACAGTTTCCTGAAACTTAAAAAACTCAGCCAAAAAAACCCAAGAACAAGTAAATAATTGCAGGAACAGATTACTGTGTTTCTCACCTCTACTCTGGACAGCCCTAATAATGCAGTTGTAACTCTAACACTACTGCTCTGCAGAGTCCCTGTGATCTTTCTTCTTTCATATTCAATAGTTGACATCTGCTGTTGTGCAGCAATAGCCAGAGCCCTCTCTCTTGACTCATTGATCAATGGAACCTTCAGATTTTCTTCAAGAATCTGATCAAGACCACATTTCAAATATAAAACTGGCTCTGCTGAACATGGACCTGTTAAATAAAAAAAAAAAAGAAGCAAAACCCCCACATTTGTCAACCAGTAGCATAACTGCATAGAGTATTTAAAATATCTAATCTCTAAAGAAAAGCCAGAATATAAAATTGCATTGATGTTTAGTGTTATTTCTCTAGTACATGCTATTTACTCCAGTAATATTTTTTTTAAATTTTTAATTATAATGAGGAAATAAAAATTAACATAGACTGAAATACAAACTACAAGTTGCTTAGTTAACAAGAAAACCCAGGCTTTAGTGTTACTACTATTATGACAGTAATGAAAGTTTTAAAAAGTCTTTCTGACACCTATACAACACAGCCACTCTTTTATACCTCTAGATGATGTTGCATCTCCTCTAAAAGTAGCCACAAGCAATTATTTCAAATAATAGCTAACACAATTTCTGAAATAGGATTGGCAGCAGTTTATCACTGCCTGTTTAAAGACGAAAGTCTTGGATTGCCTGTCAAATCACAACACTGCATACAAAACTCATGCAATTTAAAATTAGAAAAATTCTAGGTAAAGATGACTTATCCTGGTTCATCTGGCTACAACCTATATTCTGAAGTAGAAGAGAAAGAATCAAAAAATATTTATGAAGACTATGTTGAAGACAATACAAGAAAGTTAAAGCAGCTCACTAACAGCTAGCTGAAGCTCTGAAGACAATGGACTAGACAACATTAAAAGAAGTAACTGATAGGTACACTGTAATATGTTTTTTATATTTCACTATAAAAAATTGCTTTTACAAGATTTATTTAATTAATGTGGACAAAAATGCATGGGAACTAAAGATTATTTGCAGAAGATAATTATTTGCTCTATTTTACTCTTCTCTCTTCTATTTGTTTTACCTTCTAATGTACTGCTAACATGCAAAACATTTGGACTATCCATTGGAAGCAATCCTGAAGGCAAAGGTATATCACCTGTTCCCTCTATCAGATATATGAATTCTCCAATCTGAAATGCAAGAACATACAAATCCAATGAATGCAGAAAACAACTCATGCAGAAGAGGAGGCAAGATATTATAACTAAAACCAAATACACTCTAGTAATACTTAAAATCTGATTTGCAAAATAATTTACATATTCAGGAGACACACTATTTCAAAACTACATTTAAATAAAAAAAAATTACAATTTCAATCCCTGCTATGATTATAAAGTACCTTTAATGGAGAACATTAAATGTGAAAAGTCAAGAAATTTCAATTAATTGAATCCTTTCCAATTCCGCATATAATTTAACTGAATAAGGATACCCTGACCCATAAATACAACAATAAAGCGAATTCTAATTACGTGCTATATCTACATATAATTTAAACATATTCATTCATAACTTACTTCACAGTTAAGAACTTTTTTTAAAAAATGCTTACAGTAATTTTGAGCCAGTAACATTTCTCTAGAAAGAAAAAAAGAGCAGAAGTCAAGGAACAGGTTGCCCAAAGAAGTGGTAAATGCTCCATCCCTGGAAGTGTTCAAGGCCAGGTTGGACCGAACCTTGGGCAACATGGTCTAGGGTGAGGCATCCCTGTCCATGGCAGGGAGGATTGGAACTAGATGATCTTAAGGTCCTTTCCAGCCCAAACCATTCTATGATTCTACGTACAAATTCTCCATGAAGCAGAAATAAAGTTAACAATCTTAATTATTTCATCAAAAAGAATGGAAAACCTACAAAAGCTTGCATGTAAATATAAACATGACCTGAAACAAAGGAAGACTAATTTTTCATTTATCTTTGTCGGTGACATGGACTGTGGGATTGAGTGCACCCTCAGCAAGTTTGCCAACGACACCAAGCTGTGTGGCTCGGTTGATATGCTGGAGGGAAGGGATGCCATCCAGAGGGACCTTGACATACTTGTGAGGTGGGCTGATGCCAACCTCATGAAGTTTAACCAAGCCAAGTGCAAGGTCCTACACCTGGGTTGGCACAACCCCAGGCACAGCTACAGGCTGGGCGAAGAGATTCAAAGCAGCCCTGTGGAGAAGGAGTTGGGGGTGGTGGTTGATGAGAAGCTTGACATGAGCAGGCAGCGTGCACTTGCAGCCCAGAAAGCCAACCGTATCCTGAGGTGCATCAAAAGAAGCGTGACCAGCAGGTCAAAGGATGTGATCCTGCCCCTCTACTCTGCTCTTGGGAGGCCTCAGTTGGAGTATTGTGTCCAGTTCTGGTGTCCTCAACATAAAAAGGACATGGAGCTGCTGGAGCAAGTCCAGAGGAGCAGAGGAGGGCCACGAGGATGATAAGAGGATATGAAGGAAATAATTTATGGAATTTAGACCATCTTCTAACCAATGGAATGTTTTCCCTTTAATAATGCTCAGTAACGTAAAATAGGGCTGATTTTTATTTTAACTTTATTCATAGTTTCAACACATATTTATGTTAAGGCTGAAAGCATTGCAGTTATCTTTCTGACAAAGCAGAAGAAAAGCTATTCAACTTCGATGGCATTTTCTCCCCTTTCTTGATTCAGGAGTTCAGACAATTCTTCCTTGGGAAGGATTAAAGAAACCTACAGCAAAAGAAGTTCCCACACAGAAACTAATAGTCACTCCTGGGAACCAATTTAAACAGGAATTATTCCTGTTTGACACAGTTATTTGGCTCCATAAGGACTGCTAACAAGCTCACAGTATATACAAGTAATCTCATGAAGGTATTGGTTGCTAGGATGCCATTTTACTATCAATTTCTTTTCTTGTCATTGCTGACATCAATATGCTTATGTAGGAACAAACTTCCCCATTTCTCTCTTTGCTTTGAAGAATTCTTGTTTTTTAATCTCCATAGAATGAAAATCCTGTTTTCTTTCTGCTGAGTTTTTCTTGATGCTTTGGAACAGAACGGTATTTCACTGTATGTTGAAAGTTTAGCTAGCATCCCCATGGTTTTAATGCTTTATATTTCCATTTTCCATCAGCATTAAACAGAATATCATCAACATTTTGTAGGGTTTACTGTTAACAAAAATAGTTAAAGAAAATAGCTGTTGAACTACCATTAGCTATTTATCTAATCCCATTCCTAACCGATATTTCAAAAGAATATATAGCTCCCAGGAATTTGCAGCTCTCCATAAAAGTGAGTAATAAAGAACAACAGATAGTAAAGTGTTCTTTTAATAAAACATTTAATTCTGCATTAGACATTTAGCTGTGAAAGTCTGGACTGACATTCTCAAAGTACGACTTAGTAAATTATTATCATTGAAATCATGGGATGTTCACATTTAAATTAGCTCACAGAAACAAAGATACAGAGAAAAAGCAACCCAGATATGTTAACCAATATATAATTTCTTTTCTGGAAAGATCTATGTTAAAAATTTGAAGAATGTCAGTTTCAGTTTTTATGAAAAAAACAGAAATATTGAAACAAGTCCTTGAAAAATGTTATAAATAACTTGTGCTGTTATTTCAAACCTTAGAAAAGTTAACACCCAGATTATTTAGAAACAATTTAAGCAACATACTTGAGCAGGCCAACAAACTTGAACCAGTGTATCTTCTTGCTTTTATTACAGCTAATGCAATGACAAATAGGATTTCTAGTCAGATACAAGTCCAACTGGTGATTTGAACCTCAGTACCATCTTCACTGGTTGTAATGAAGAAGCAGTCTTTGATTACTATTTCAGTCTATTTGTCAAAAAGAGTAGGAAAGGTAGGTATGATTTACAGAAATGCTGAATTTGGTTATTTTTTTAGATTGTGTACAGCACAAGTCCCTATTTGAATGATATAAGTCTCATCATTGTACGAAGCCATTAGATTTTCATACAGCATGGTAGCTACATTTGTTTGTCAATTAGATAATGGTATGATTGAAATATTGCAGCCATATACACAGTATCTAAGAAAGCCAATTTCTTCTATGCCATTACTGTACAGCTCTAAAATCATACTATCTATCTTGCAGTTTCATTTTTCCCTAAGAGATTTACCACATTTTCTTACAAATGATACATTTATGTGGATGGGCCTTTCTAACCTGAGGTGCTATGTATAGAAAATTTTGTACTTTCAGCAACCTTTAACTGTTTCTTTCCTACTCAGCTAAGCTGAAAGGACCAGGTGTTCCAGCGATAGTTACCATGCAGGACATAACAGTGGCTTTTCTCAGGCATTAATGCTTCTTACTATGTTAAACTGAACTAGTTCTTGGTTAAAAACTGTGACTACTAGTTAGGTGTTTAAACTTAGATGTTTCTACATCACCACTGGAGGTAACACTGGGGCTGTCAGAAATGTTCTTCTCCCTTTCCACATGAAGTATAACCATCCCATATCTCTGATCACAACTCTTAGATTTGCTTTCCTCCCATTAACATGTCTCTATTCACTAAAATATTTCGTTTTCTGGCTCTCTACCTAATGTAATATGAGCCTTTTCTTCTTAGCCAGCATATAGACTTCTGCTTTATGTACCTGTAATGTCCCTTAACAATCTCTTTTTTAATTACAGGATTTTATATTTTTTTTATTATTCGTCCCTGTAAAGAAACGGTTACATCCTTCTGATCATTCTTGTTTCTCTCTCTCTTCCCTCCACTCCCATCCCTATTATATTATTTGCTGGGGTGACTGGAACTGCACATGGTATTCAAGATGTGTACAGCATAGCTCTTCAGAATGGTATACTGAGATTTCACATTTTTATTCTATTTCTCTCCTAAGAATTTGTCTTTCTGAATGATGCTGAGTGCTGGATTGTTTTTTTGTTGAACCATCCATAAAGATCACTATCCTTTGACTTGGGGACATTTATACAACCTTTTTGTGGGTTATTCCCTCGTCTCAATAAGGCATGAACTCACTGTCTCACTGTAGGTTTTGACGGACTATCTTCTCTCTCTCTGCTAACTCTCAAGAACCTTAAGTGAACTGCGGACTCTTTAGACTTCCAGCCATATTGCTTGTTTTCTTAAGAAACGGACAGTGGTTTCAAATATTGAACAGGGTCAGATAAATAGGCTTGGGAATTATTTCATTAGTCTCATTTTCCTTTAAAAGCAAGGGTAAATATAAGCTGGCCAAGTGGCATAGCCAAAGTCCTGGTTAAACAATAAAAACAAATACCAAACATGCAAACACTAAACACTAACAGAAGTCTCTTGTACTGTTCTATAGTAATGAAAAAATATGGAAACTGAGAACGTGCAGGAGAAAAAGAATAAGTCATTTAGCTTTGTTTGTATTGTTACAAATCATGAAAACATGTCAGAGAGAATGACAGATGCGTGTAACTGCACAGAGGGAAAGCTAAAACACGGAGGTAGTATTATGAAAGTAAAAAGCAGAATATAAGCCTTGAGATCAGCTACACATAAAAGAATATTAGAAAAATGCAGGGTGTTGTAAGATGGATAGAGACAAAACACAGCAGAGAGTTTAAAGAGCTGAGATAAGATGGACTAAAGACATGTAAATAAGACTGTGACCACTGAGTTAAAGGATTACAGGAACATCAAAGAAGCTGGAGTGCAAATTTTAAACTGAAAGCTGGTCAAAACCAGGTCTCCAGGTCTTCGTAATTTGATGAAATCAATTTTGATTAAATACATATGGTGAAACCCAGGCTACATGAGTCGACAAACTGAAAGGTAATGGAGTCAGTACTGATGTACAATCTGTTCAAAAGTTTTACCTGCATTAGTGCCAGGACTGCTTAGAATCTAGATTGGCAGGCAAGTTAAAAAAGAGACAGAGCAAGGAAAATTATTATTATTATACTTTGACATCATATCCTACATACAGTGAACAAGATGGAGAGAAGTAAAGACTTTATCCTCTTCCTGCATATATGTCATCCTAAAGCATTATTCTTGTTCCAACATCAAGACAAATGATTTAAATTCCATATTTGTTTTTAAGATGAGTTGCCTAGAAAAGCCACCAAAATAACATTCCTTGCAGTGTTATTTTTATTTGTAATGATTTTACAGTGAAAAATAACTTGCAGCATTTCATATAATTCTAATTACGTGAAGATAAAAGGGCAGTAAACATTGGTTTAAATTTCTTAACTGAAGTGTCCAATCTTGTGTTAATATCTGACCAACTTCTTCAGTAATATTTCCTTCAAGAATTATAGGAATACCATACATAGATCATGTCTTTATAATTGCATATGCACTCAAATACAGTACCTTAAAATATGTGCATAACCAATTTGTATATTTACTTACCCTATTCACACATAGTTGGCAAACATAGCCCAATTCTTAGCTGATGAGGCTATCACATGAAAATCTCTTTCTATTCATACTTTGTGTTCTTACCAGTTCATTAGCCAGAATGACACTACAGTAACGTTTTTCCAGATTAAAGGGAAGGAAGTGAATATCTAAGCCTGCAGAACTTCTCCCTTCCAAGAACAGTTTTTCAATTGGACTGAAGAACTCATGCAGGAGGCTGGATTGGTCAGCTGTTAAAATAAGTTTAAATGGTTGTTTAGATACAACAGCACAGGTTGTAAAATAATGTAGTTAACTGAGGTTAAATATAAGGATATTGTATACAGTCCCCTGTAGTAATCAGTATCTAAGGAACATTTGTAATTGGTAATCAGTATTTTCAGTTACGCTTGTGTAGATGTGCTGCAATATTGCATGCTGTATTATTTAAATACTTAATTTTGCTAACTACTCATGTTCTTATTCTGTGCACTGAAACAAAACCCAGGAAAACTATTATCACCATCAAAAGCTCTTTAAGGATGTACACCCTGTATGACTACTGGTAAATGACTACTGCCAGAAAGAAGAGTACAGTTTACTACTATTTAAACAAATAGTTTTGCTCTCAGTAGCAGTGACAATGTTATGTTATAGTCTGAAATCCTCTAATGTAGATAAGAATACTGGCAAGACTGCATTGTTTTCACAAATTGAGAAAGTGCTTTCTTCATAAAACATTAGGAATCTTGGGATTGAATCTGGCAGAGTCTGACTATGTTCTCACTACGTGTTTTTCATCTGCTAAATATATTTTGATAATGCGGATTACCTCAGAACCAGACATTCATTCAAGCTTGGCTGGCAGACTTTAGAATAGATGTAAAAGTGAAGGCAACAGAAATGGCTGAACATCATGAAAGAAACATATGCCAAACTCTAAGTAGAATTGATCCACCCCTCAAAACCACCAAGAACCAAGCTGAAGAAAGGCATAGCCACCACGTACCTTTTCTCTGCATAGTTCAAATTGCTTTCCAATCAATAAAAATACAAATCTCCCAATATTCCTGCTTTAACCAACAGTTAAATTTGATATTGATTTGATGTTTCTAAAGCCTACATAAACAATGACACACACACAAAAACCAAAAGGACTGAAGTCCCATTTTTACCTTTCAATCAAATAGGATAAGGCAGACCTAACAGCAACTAATTTTTTACTACCTAAGGCACTAACTCTCAAACTTATCTCTGTTGAAGTTTTTCGTCATTCCAAGTATGTAAAACTGTGGAGTAGACTGAATCTCTTGTGAGAGCCCTCCCTCCTCACTTTTTTTCTGGATTTTGTGAAATTAAAACAATTGCCAAAAAGTCAACATTTAATAAAAAGGGGTTTTTTTGGCAGGGTTGGTTGGGTTTGGGTTTTTTCGGTTTGGGTTGGGTTGGGTTTTTTTTGTTAGTTTTGTTGGTTTTGGGGTTTCTTTTTTTTTTACAGTTTTCTTCCTTTTTATTATGGCTGCTCCAAAAGAAAAAAAAAATATTCCTGTAGTTTAAATAGTACATGTTCTTTACATGTTCTTTCAGGTCAGGGTGTAAAACACGTAAAGAAGACTCTTGTTTAGGTTTTTTTTGCTATGGTATTGAGAGAATGAAGGGGAATTACTCTTAAAAGAGGAATGCACTTCTACAAGAAATTAAAACATAATTTCATTTCCAAAGACCAGAGATGCCATAAAAAACGTCTGTAGTCTCAATCTGGTTGAAGCCATAAAAACCTTCATAAGCTACTCACAAATTGGTACAGTAGTTGTACCCCACTTTATTACTTAAGGTATATATTTTTTATTTTTATGAATTGTGTGTTAATTGGCTTTTAATCACATCTCAGAATACAACATGAGATAATATATCTAGAAGGGCTAAATTATTCAGATTACTTACAGATCTGCTTTCCATATCACCTCACAGGACCAAAACAATATTTTCTAAGGGGACAAAATTAATTTCATAAGGCCATCCTAAAAGTTTCAAGACTCTCAGAAAATGCTGTAGCTTTACATTTGTATGTTTTAACAGAACTGTAGACTGACATTTCATAGGAAATAAGGCCAAGAAATGCCTGATTCCTATAAAACAACCTTAGAAATCATTTCACTAAATTAAATACACCAGAAGATAAGCTCTGTATAAATAATAATGACTGAACATACTTTATATGTCAAAATCTTGCCTATATAGACAATCATTTTCTACCATAGTGACACAAGAGGTATTGCATAGAGGTACTTACAGCAATTTAAGTTGATCTCTTCATTTGGATCTTCAGGCAGTGTACCATTTTTAAAATGTAGTATGTTCTTTTCAGTACTAAAAGAAAAGAAATTAAATCAATATTCTAAGGCTGGATATTTCTATTATTAATAGATAGGTTTGTTCTCCTTTTTATGAATAAATACTTGAAAAACAAATATTTTCAAGAAAAAAAATCCACATTTTGGAACCATCTACCTACCAATAATACTGAATGCAACCTCTTCCACTAAAGTTAGTAGCCATATTTACAGCAAAGCCAGAACATGCTCCCTTCACTTAATCAGTAAAATATCTCTTCAATACTCCTATAAGCAAAATTCCATGTTAAAAGAAAACCCCACAATTATATTCTGCCAATCAAAAGTACCCCTGTTCAATAACACCTTTGCAGACCTCAGTCCCAGTTCTTCTCTATCATTTCAATATCTGATGGGGATAGGAAATGAATTGTTCCCTGGTACATTATGAAGTGGCAAGGCCCTGAATTCCTCTGATGCTCTCGGTTGTCTTCCATTTAGTCTTTCTAATTTTTCCCAAAAAAACTACTCTATACGAATAAATCTAAATATCTGCAAATCAAACTCAGTTCAGATACACTGTGCTCATGCTAGGATTTACATTCATAGACCTGTGGACATGTCTTTAGACTGCTGCTTCTTAGAGAAACTGATTTGCAAAAGTAACAGTCTCCTTTGACCCTTATCAGAACTTACTTCAGAGACTAGACCTCCTCTTAACTAAACTTTTTTAAGCCCTGATTTTCTTCTCTAGCTCTGTCTACCTTTTTCCTAGCTCAACAGTCTCCACTTTTTAAAGATAAAATAAGTGTTCTGTTTTATTCATGTTAACTAAATTACCTTACCAGGTACCATCCTGAGAACTACCTGAATGTTTTCACTTCTGTCTGCCTAACTAGGGCTTGAAGTACCTTAACACAATATTAACATTTAAAAATAATAAAAATAAGACACTTAGAGTTAGAAATATTTTAAACAGTAATTGTACTTCCAGGCTATATAATTGCATGATACAGAATACTAAGTTCTTTGTGTGTGTGTGAGGTACACTTTCAGGCAAACGTTTTACATTTATTATATTAATTAGGACACATACCAACAGGTCATATATGAAAAAATTAGAACTATCTAGTAAATGAAGAATCTAGCCTATGGCTTTGGCTTACTGGGAACCTTGGATATACCCCTAGTCATTATTCCAGAGTCTGGATTCATGGTTTAAACTCTACTCTAAATCTAAACTTTGTTTCCAATACCATCTAGAAAAGAAATCTGTCTAGTAAAGGGGAAATTCAAATTCTAACTGCTCAGCAATGATAATTCAGGATCAAGGAACACTCTGGCATGAAGGACAAGATGGCCCAACTGGCTGCAAGAAGGAATGCCAAAGACAGAACAACTCCCTCTCAGGGGGTGACATTTTCCCTCCTGAAGAGATAAGAGATGATACAGCATTGTACATATATACAGCATTGTATCTTGTAACTATAGATTGTGGAACGCAAGTGAACCACTTTTGCTAAACAGCTCTGTTGCTGAGGGATGAACTAAACAGCTGCTTAAGGCACCTGATGCTGACGCTCACGATTGACGTTGGTGCAAGTGTGTACAAGGAATTGGGTCGTATAGCATCTTTGTGGAGTTCCTGCAGAAACACTTATGGTGGTAAGTCTCTGTACAATGCATTTGTTCATTAAATCTTTATATTTAACCACAACTGTGTGTTCAATTTTACTCAAGGAGTACAATAAAAATTCCCTAACATCAGTTAAAAAATTACTTTTGTTTCCTTGCTTAGGCCTGGATAAATACAAGAAACTAAATTCCTGTGCAGAGCTTTACTGATTTCAACAGAAGTATGCATTTATGGAGGGGCAACATTACCAAACCCTAAAAAAGGTTCAGGCCTTAATTGCTTTAATTTCCTGAAATACAGCCACTGTTGAAACGCTATCTCATCTCAGTCTTTCCAATTAAAATGTTAATGGTTTTAATTCTGTTGTTGGTTTTATTTATTCTTCAGTGCAGTGGCAGATTTCTGACCTCAGAGACATTAGTATGTCACCATGTAAATTTGAAATTTTTACCTGTGGAGGATATTTTTTTTTTAATGTAACATGTTGTGATTGCAACAAATTATTTCTCTTTCACCTTACAAGTAAAGAGAAACTAGACTATGAATCTTGGCTGGAAATGCACAAGAGGCTCACTGGTTTACTAAGTCCTACATTGAATCCCTCGCAGAGAGTAAAGTCAATAGAGCTTTAATAAGATTTATTTTTATCTTTAATAATTCATTTATATATATTCTTAAATGCAGAGACTTTAATTAGTGCATAGAATATTAATAATTACATAGATTAAATTTTGTAATCTGCAAGTCAAACTTTTGAAAAACTTCTATATAGTAGGATGTATCATTAGCTTTTTAATATGTCTCCTAATTTCTATTTGGAATGTAAAACAGCAATGTTTTGATTTCTGTACTACTATACCTCAACAGTAAAAAAATCCCCAATTAATTTAGAAAACTTTATCACTAAACAGAACTTTGTAATTAAATTATTATTCTTCAAGACACACTATTTCACTTCAAATAACATGTATATTGATCAAGTGTCTAAGATATTTAAATAATCTCAGTATGAGCCAGGGTTTCAATATTTATTACATACAATTATACACTGGACAATACAGTGTATTGATTTGGCAACTTTCTCCCTCCTATTCATGAGTGTTTATAACTCACAAGGGACAGATAAATGTTTTAATCTATAGTTTATTCTAAATATATAACAAAGACAGGTTCCTGCATGTTTTCCCTATAGATTTTTAAATACAAATTTTGAAAATTCAAGCTTGAAAAAAACATGTAAGATCATATTTATATTTTTGTTTGCTTGTTTGTTTATTTAGATTTTAAGTTCGACAGCCACATTATAATAGTGAAAGAACACATCACAACACATCTTACTATAAACTGGGGCAACTTTATACGATGTTTTCTAGCTTAATCAAGCCCCGGGACAGCAATATGTTTAAGAAATTTAATAGGAAATCCATTTCTTCTGTTACTTAAGATAAGATGGGCCATTTTTTAACAAATGAAATCAGTAAAGCTAAGTAAAACATAGATTTTACACTAATGCTAATAAATATTAAATGGCGCAGATTCAATGCAGTAAGTGCAAGATCCAGATTTAAACCATCAGAAACATCCCACTGGAATCCCACAATTCTGTATAACAAGGATCACGAACTACAACAGATCAATAGTATACAAATTATTTAAGTTTTATGAGCCATGTGTTTTCTTAGAGGAAACAGAGCACAACTGCATATTTCATGGCTAAAAATAGAGGGGTAGTGTTGCTACTATCTCTACCTGGTGTAAACAATTTCTCTTACTTATAGTGCTGATCCAAAAAGACTGAGTGTGGCATCTTTGGAGTAGAAATTAATTATTTAAAAAGTTCTTCCCTAAAATATTCCTTAGATTTTTCTTTCTCTCCTCAAGAATTAATATATGGGGGGGCAGGGAACCAAACCCAAAACAAACCAAATCCCCCCCGCAAAAAAAACCCAAAAACCACTCAAAACCCCAACCAAAAAAAAACACCCATATTTGAGATTCACTTTTGTACACATGGTTTACAACATTTCTGTTCACAGAATAAACATAATTTTCCATTATTTATTTTTCTGTTGGCTCAGAGTATTTGGGGAATTTATACCACACAATGAGGACTTAGGGATGTAAAATCCCATGTTAGTATGTAGCTCATGATCTTTTTAGGAAGCATCAAATCTCATACGAGAAGCTCTTTAAGCAAGTTCTACTAAAAATTTCCACTAAATTCTCCTCTTCATTTAGTTACTTTGATTCACATACAAGGTTCATTTGCACAAGGTCAAAGCCCTGAAAAGTGGGGACTGAAAAACACAGGAACAGTAAAGCCCCTCCCCCATGCCTATTTTACACCAAAACTACAAGAATTATCTATATTAACTAACAGTGCAGTTAATCATTCACAAGGAACTTAATGAAATCAAGGATTTGTCTGAGAAAACAGTGAAGAATCTCAATCTAAACACCTTAATTCTGTTCATTACAGATTTGATTTTTCAAGTGTACTTGAAAAGAACAGATACATTGCAAAAAACAACTTACAAATAAGTATTTGCTTATTTTCATCCAGTCAAAGCAAACTGTGCTCCTTACCATCTTATTTCCTCGATACGACTTTAAGTCTTTTTCTACTCTTCACAAATATTTTCGACCATTTTTGACAAGAGTAAAGGCTGTGCATTCACATTTATGGAAAGAGAGTTTTGTTTAATTTACAACAAGCACAGAGCTCATATATGCTGAAAACTATACTGTAATGTATGTCAAAAAAATTCTATGAGTTTCAGCTCTAAACTCAAATTTAGTATTATCCCCACATAAAAGTCATTCTCCCACAGCAGTAAAATTTGATGAACCGGCTTATAGCAAACAATTATCACATACAGAGTTTGATACCTATTGGGTCTCTCTTAAAATAAATAGTTAATTGTGCTAGGCTTAGAAAAAATCACAGCCTTAAATAAATGGACTTGTAAAGCTCTCAGAATATGTTACCCTGGAGATTCATTTTAATACCTATACTTAAAGGCCATTTTTCAGAAAGGAAAATGATCTCTGAGGTATGCAAGTACAACTGTGTATTCTGTACTTACAAATGAGTATCTCACATAAAAATACAAAAAATACAAATTTTATATAAAACATCATCTCTTTTAATGCCTTATCTTTGAATCAGAATGCCAAGTCATGATTGTAAAATCAGGGACTACAGCAGGTGGATTTGGCAGGTTAATAAATGGTTAAAACCATTTTTGGTTATTTAGAACACAGAACTAGATTTGGGAGGCCAGGTCTACTGGAGGCTCGTGTAGCTGGTATGGAGCTGCTTTTGTAGGAGACTTGCCAGGCTGGTCAATAAATACAGATATTCTGTATAACATAATCCTTTCCTTGACACATGAAACTTCTTAGAACAAAAAGTATAAGAACAAAATTCAGAAAATTGGAAGTATTTAGAATGCCAGGGTATTACCTCTGGTAAAAATCAATACATAAAGAAGCTATATACATTATTCTGCAAAGCTAACTTTGAAATTCATTAATAATTTTTTTCTTTTTTTGTTTTAGAGTAAGTTTTTGTTGATGTAAAAAAAATTATCCACATTCACAGCTGTTTTTGTAAGTCAATCTGTGCAATCATGAGCCATCCTTACGATTCATGGACACTGTAATGCATATTCTAAACTGCTTGATTGTGGTCTTAGAATAGGATTATTAGTGAATCATTAGCATACCTTTACCACTTGCTAGTTTCACAGAAGGAAATCTATGAAGGAAAAGTTAGCTATTAAATGTAACCTTGAACTTTACTGTCATTCAATACTTTTTTAACGGACATAATTCAAAAAACCAACATGCTTGAAAACTGCTTATAGGTAGTTTTATATTAGAATTCCATGTGGTGTGCACCTCTCCACCTGGTTCTCCTCCCACAGGGAGCAGACCATACTGGTACACAGTTGTAGACCAAGGGTAATAACTGAAGTGTCAAGGGCTTGGAAAAGTATAGAAAAGTGCATAACTTGAAAAAATCCAAGCACTTTAATCACAGTATACTTAAAAGAAAAACTATGTCAGCTGGATGAAAGAAGAAACCCTATCCTTCTCACCAAACATCATTCAGTTCCCCATGGACAAAAATGTCTTGCCTGCAATGACTGAATGACACCCTGTCTCAGACATGGGTCACTGTTAAGTGTTCTTTTGGCTTAGACAGCACTGTCCCTTGTAAGGATACAGTTCATATGGGCTCTAGCTTTAGATTGGTATGCCTTTCCAGTCACAGTATGATGAGCCCATGCCACAGTGACTAAACGATTGGTCTCCTCATGGGTGTGAATGACATCATTTTGGGTGTCTGTGATAGTGCCAGAGGGGAAAGGTGGTAGGTAAAAGGATTACCTGCCAGGAAAAGCTTGTTACAATGAGGTTTAAAGAAGTGCATCTGACACATCTGGAGGACACAGAAGGAACTGTAAGACTGAGAACCCCACTTGGACCTGTACAGATTATTAAATTCAAAGCATGCAAAGGACATCAATCACGTAGACACAAACAAAAAAAAGGCTTAGAATTAAGACTTTCAGTCTATGACTGAAATATTGAGTTATTAAACTGTCAGTTATTAAAACAACAGTGCAATTCTTAATATCTAGCAAGTTCCAAACATTGTTTTAGATATTTATGGTTGCTTTTTCTCTATGCTGGGCTGCCTCTAGAGAGTGCCACAAATTTTATTTCTTAAACCCTTTTGATTCTCTCTTTCTCCTTTAACTTTGAGTATCAGCGATTCTGATTTACATCTCACCTCTTCAAAACCCGCCAAGATTTCTGCTTGTTCATCTAAGCTTATTGGTATTTATCTTACAACTGAAGGCAGTGAAGACTGAACTACCTTCTTTCAGACATAAAGTCTTAAGCATGGATTTTTCTTTATGTCAACTTGATTCCCATTCCAGTTGCTTTCTCTTTTTCATTCTTTGGCACTTTACTATCTTTACCACACTTAGTTTGAACTCTCCTTCTCCTTCCAGATTTCATGTTAGAAAATCTGTCCATGGTCAGCTAAGAAGTAATGTCTAGACATAAGATTATATTAATGTATCAATATATCTGCACTAATAACCTCTTACCCTATTCTTGCACCTCCAAGAGCTTACTGAACCTGTAACATTTTACACTTCAGCACAATTAAAATTCTGTAGACTACCTATTTATAATTAAAAACTTGAGCTTACTGTTGCACCGTCAAATATCTCTACCTTCTTCCTGCCAAGATTCAGAACTAATCTTGTTGCACTGAACTGGAACTAGTTTTCAGCATTTCAGTCACCTATGTCACAACAGTTGCCCCTATCCCAGGATATTTATCTTTTCTTCACCATTTCAGTAAGATATCTGTAAGGTGTTATTAAAATGTTATGTAGTTCAATATATTATAATTAGCAATTGCCATTTAGAGGTTACCTGAAAGTTTGCTCTTGCTTTACTTGCTTCGCTTGATATACTTCCTCTGGCTGCGTTAAGTAACTTCTGGATTCCAGCAAAATGACCCTGGGGTATGGTAAATACACATTTTTTAACTTGCAGAATGAAGACAAAATTAGCTTTATTCTTTTAAATGAAGACTTGGTAAATAAGCTTATTATTTTCAGTTGGAGATACATTAAAACTACTGTAAAAAAAATTCTAATAGATTTTTTTTAAAAAAATCTTATTTATTAATGTGCTAATTCTTCCTTATTTAATAACTTCGAACATTTTGCACAATTTAGGCCAAGACAGTTATCCATCTCATAGAACTGATTACAGGCAGCCTTGCTGACCACCTCAAGAACTTCAAAAAAAAGACAGATGCTAAATAAACTCATAAGATTCCCACATTCAAGGCTTATGCCAGAACATGTTACTGGAGCAGTGAAAACAATCCTGCTACAGGTGTCTATACCAAATCCATTCTATAGGGGGAAAAGAAATTTAATTTGCAGTTTATACAACACATATATTAATCAGATCAGTAAAAGAAGCTAAAAATGTTATTGTAAACAATTACATGAACCAATCCTTAGCCCTATAGACTAAAGACAAAATATGGTGTCAGATCATATACATGGATTTAAAGGGGCACAGCTCTCTATCTCTTTTGTATTAAAGGAAGCAATATTTATAACTCTGCAGTTGTTACATCTATGATGAATATAAATGAAAAATTAGATTAACTGATAGTGCTGCAAGCCCCAAGGCAAAAACATGTTTTTTTTCTTTTGCGTGCTTAATAATTTAAAACAACAGAATAAAGCAGATTGGGGAAAAATAAACAACTATTAATTAACATGGTTTGTTTCTCTTTGGAATTCTGCTGGACCTCAGACAAACACAAAAATACAAGCAAGGTTCATGAACTCCATTTGATTAAAGCTCTAGCTTTGTTGCTTTCACTGAGATGAATTTCAATTAAGGCTTATTTATCTTTTTTGTTCATTATAATAGCTTCCACTTCATAGTGTTTGCAACAATTTTGGCAATATAAATACCTATAATTTAACCTTATTAAAGGTTAATCTTATTAAATGTAAAGGTTTTACATTTTTAAGGAGGAGAAGAAAATTATGGAAAAGTTTTGATAAAATGGAATGATCATTAAAGATTTGTCTTTACATTATTTACCTGAATATGCCATCAGTACTGAAGGGATTGGTAACATTTAGGGTAACTTTATTCAGCTGATAACATGGGGATTTGCATTTCAATATATCCTAAAAGAGAACAAAAATTTGTATCAATATGAAAAATATGCAAACCTACATTCATGAATAATACATAAACAGGAAACCATTATGAAGAATAGAACCATGTGTCTGACCACTGGTAACTACAAAATTAATACAATTTAAGTGCTCAGCTTTGTTGCCAGCAAAGAACAGTTGAAGCCTATTTCTTCTTAAACATGCATTAAACTTCACTGTATTTTAAATACTTCCCCAAATGATAGCACAAGGCCAAGAATTGAGCTACCATCCTTTCTCCTTCTTATCGTTATATTCTCTTCGTTTTTTTCTCTTGCCCCAATCTTTCTTTCTAACATCAATGTCTGTTGCCATGGGATTAAGAAAGTCATGTAAAAAAAAAAAAAAAAAGAAAGAGACAGTTGTATAAACTCCATCTAAGTTCAGAAGACGATCTATCTGGATCTGCTCAATAAATGTTTGATAACAAATGCTGGAACACATGCCTGTCTCTGCTCTTACTATTTCTGGGATACATCAAATCTACAGAATGCCTAAAGTCACAAATAAACCTAGCAACATCTAACAAAGTTTTGCTGTACATCTACATCTGACAACTGAAATCAGTAGGTTGAAGCATGTCACCACCTCCACGATGGAATTTCCAAAAGTATTCATACTCCAAAAGGGATGCAGATCTATTTTCAAAGCAATCAGTACAAAATTTTGAGATTTATTCGGGATCTAAGTGTGATTTATAACCTTAGGACTCTTAGGTATTCCTCTAGGCTTTTCTCCGCATGTATATAGGCTAATATTGGAAACCTGAAAATTCATAGGTCTTACCTCAATTCACTTTTGTTTGATATAAGGTACAGAAGAACAATATTTTTGTGGCAATATTAATCATACACACATAAACTTACAGCAGGCTCAATATGGTTGACTTCAGATTTCAGAGAAAATGTCAGTGTGGCACCATCTATTCCACCCACATTCTTTGAGACCAGTAACAACATTGCTTCAGCAGGGTGCAGAAAACGACTAGTGAATTCCACATTTATAGTTGTTTGCCTCCTAGTAAAATAATAACAATAATAATAATTCAAATAATTAGGCACAAAACTGTGATTCAGAAATTACTCAGAAGTGTAAATACAGAAGTACACTTTAGACTCTGTAAGGAGAAGAGGCTAGAAAAGAAAGTATTTTATTTCTTCTGTAAACAATCTTCTACCTAAAAGGACCTGAAACCATTCTAGTAAAAAAACTATATAGACAGAAAAAGAACAATTTTGAATCCTTCTTTCTTTTTATGGCTTCAGCATGTAGCTTAATTTTTCTTCCCACACATACAGAAGTTCTCTTCCCTTATAGTACTACCCTAAGTTAACAACTGATTTACTTTATCCTCCTGCTTGAATAAGCTTTTGTGAGTTAAACAGCCAGATATCCTGTTATAGAATCATAGAATGGTTAGGGTTGGAAAGGACTTTAAGATCATCTAGTTCCAAGCCCCCTACCATGGGCAGGGATGCCTCACACTAGACTATATGACCCAAGGCTCTGTCCAATCTCAATCATAGAATCATAGAATGGTTTGGGTTGGAAAGGACCTTAAGATCATCTAGTTCCAATCCCCCTGCCATGAGCAGGGACACCACACACTAAACTATGTCTCCAAGGCTCTGTCTAACCTTTCCTTGAACACTGCTAGGGATGGAGCATTCACCACTTCTCTGGGCAACCTATTCCAGTGCCTCACCACCCTCATTGTGAAGAACTTCTTTCTTAGATCTAATCTAAACTTCCCCTGTTTAAGTTTGAAGCCATTACCCCTTGTCCTCCCACTACAGTCCCTAATGAAGAGTTCCTCACCAGCTTCCCCTATAGGCCTCACCTCCCTTATAGGCCCCCTACAGAAACTGGAAGGCTTTGGAAGGCTGCTATGAGGTCTCCACGCAGCCTTCTCTTCTCCAGGCTGAACAGCCCCAACTTTCTCATCCTGTCTTCATACAGGAGGTGCTCCAGCCATCTTATCATCCTTGTGGCCTTGAACACTACCAGGGATGGCACATTTACCACTTCCTTGGGCAACCCATTCTAGTGCCTCATCACCCTCACAGTAAAGAACTTCTTCCTTTTATCTAACCTGAACTCCCCCTGTATGATGGACCAGGGGGAAAAAAAACGTCTATATAGCATTCTTTCTTAAAACTACCTAAGGACCTGAGAACTGGATGTCAATAAACAGAACACCAATATCTTTACAAAAATTAAAAAAAAAAAAAAAAAAAGCAAAAATCAGGGAAAAATCCTCAAAAAAGGGTATAGAAAAACTCAAAAAAGCTCACCAAACTGAATTTATCCAGTATGATCTCTAGGCTCAACAAGTAGAGTAAAGGAGTATGATACTGGGCAGAGTTCTTTCTAAGGCCAAAAGTCTCAGGATGTCAGTTCTGAGAGTCACTGATGAAATCCTCGAGGTTCTGAAAATGTGGCTCTCACAGTTTTCGTGTTCCTGCTGCAGAGCCCCCAGGCATTATCATTTTTGACAGTGAAGAGTTGCTAAGCCCCCCAGAGTCTGAGACTACTCAGTCACCCTGCCTTTCAAAACATCCTGGAAAATGCACCCAAGCTGCTGGCGCCCCTGTGAAAGCGTATTTAAGAACGAACAAAAACATCAGAAAAGGAGAGTAGTGGGGAAAAAGAGAAAGAAACAGCAGTGGGAACATCAAGGTCAGAGAAGGAGAGGGAGAGTGCTCTAGCTGCCAGAGCAGATATTTCCCTGCAGCATGCAGAGAGGACCACACTAGAGCAGATATCCACACTGCAATCTATGGAGGGCCCCATGCCAGAGCAGTTAAGTATTTCCTGAAGGAACTGTGATCCACGGATAGCCCATGCTAAAGCAAATTTTTCATGAAGGACTACAGCCCATAGAAGGACTCAGAGCAGCAGAAAAACATGAGGAGGAAGGAGAAGCAGAGAGGAACTGTTACGAAGTGGCTGAAGCCACCTGCTCATCGTTATACCCTGTGCCATTCAGGGTGGCAAGGAGAAGATAGAGGACTCAGGAATGGAGTGAAGTTCAGTCTGGGAGAAAAGGGTGGGGAAGAGTTGAGGTGATGTTTTAAGTTTTGTCTTTGTTTCCCACTACAAAAGTCTATTTTAATTGAAAATTAACTAAAACAATTTCAACTAAGTCGAGCCTGGTTTTCCTGTGATGGTCACTGGCAAGCAGTCTCCCCATCTGTCTCAACCCACAAACCTTTTTAGCATTTTTTTCCTCTCCCATTCTGTTGAGGAGATGGAGTGAGAGAGTGTCTGGGTGAGTGGCTGATAGCCAGAGATGTTTAACCCACCACAGCCATTTATGAGTTTCTTCAGCTAGTAGTGGACCACAGTATGCATTGTCATGCTGCTTTGAAAATACAGACAGACATATACTACATATTTCTATCACTTTGTTACTATTACTTTAAAATCTCTATTTAATGCTGCTTCACTGCTTCCTAATATATTTAAGTAACCCTTCTTCATTACCCTTTGCCCTTCTGCTCAATTTTTTCTCTAATCTGTTTAGCTTATCAGTTTCCTGCAGTTTATGTCTCCTAGAAAGTAAACGGAGTTTTTTCAGAATGGGCCTTCATCTACCGAATCCTCTGTGCCAACCATCCTCACACAGCAGGTCCAACAGGATTAGTCAGTCACACTTATTCCTCATTAGTGATTATAATGACCCACAGTCATATTAAATCCAATTATAGTTACTTCTAAATATAGGAATTTGGCAGATAATTACAGGCACATCTCTATGCATAACGTCTTTCTAAAAGTCTTCCAGCTCTCCAATCAGAAGACTGACAAATTTCAGCTCCTTTAGCCTCTCTATCAAGATTATGGTTCTTCTTTTCAGCTGTGATTGCCTGAACTCTCATGAGTGAATGTTCTCAGAACTGCTATTTCTCTTGACCTTTTACCCCGAAACTTTGGTAAAGCAAGCTTTACAAATTGACTGGAGCTCTACAGCAGGCCTTCACAAGGCAATAGCTGCTATTTTTAACTGCTTTGTCTTTATTAGTTTATCTAAAGGACCTGTTGTTTCAGAGATAAAAAAGCTGGCTAGGATCAAGCTAGCTTGCAGTGAAGGATGAACTAGTGGTGAAGGCAAATCGATATTTAAACATAATATTCATAAATTCATAAGGAATAGTTTCAATTCAGGGGAACAAGAATGTGGAGTTATCTGACCTCATGTTTTCTGAACTATTACAGATACTCAAAAAGTTTTTAAAATATACCTCCAGTTTTCAATGTAGAAATATTCTCTGATATAGCAAATAGGCTTTCCTAAGTTTTAGTGATTTCTAACACATTGATTCATCTGCCTTCAATTCTATATTTATGGATTATTTACTTCTAAAAGTAGAACAAAGAACTTTAACGTGAAGTGTTTCTTTCTAACTATGTTAATATCTCTTATTTCTAAACAGGCTATAGTCATTCCCATAAATAAAAAATAAAAAAAAACCAAAACAACCAACTCCGTTAAGCTTCACTAATACACTCACATCAAATGTCTTACTGAATATACTGAAAATTCTTCCTCACTTTTTATTTAGGCAACAAATATTACTTTTTTTTTTTGCCTAGAACCCTGTTATGAGCCTATCTCCTATCTCTGAGTTTCTCTGAAGGCATTCTTTTCAAAGCAAGCAGAACATTCTCTCTTACAAATCCTCTACAATTTTGCACTAATAGCAATAAGCATACACATAATCAGTTAAACAGATGTGTTAGTTTATTATTCAAGTTACTATCACTTCCAAACCCACTTGTGATATTGTGAACTAATATAAAACACCTACAAGATTCCCACTCCCATGCTGGAGTTCTCAAACACACCCATCAGAGTATTAAGAAAGCTATTAAGTACAAAGAACCTATTTTTCATTTAGTGACCAAGACTACAAGTACGGTTACTTGGTAAACTTAAATGTTTTTTCCAACCTGGTTGATTCTGTGATCATAGAATCATAGAATAGTTAGGGTTGGAAAGGACCTTAAGACCATCTAGTTCCACCCCCCCTGCCACGAGCAGGAACACCACACACTAAATTATGTCGCCCAAGGCTCTGTCCAGCCTGGCCTTAAACGCCTCCAGGGTTGAAGCATTCACAACTTCCTTGGGCAACCTGTTCCAGTGCCTCACCACCCTCATTGTGAAGAACTTCTTCCTTATAGCTAACCTAAAGTTCCCCTGTTTAAGTTTAAAGCCATTCCCCCTTGCCCTACCACTAGAGTCCCTAATGAAGAGTCCCTCCCCAGCACCCTTGTAGGCCCCCTTCAGATACTGGAAGGCTGCTATAAGGTCTCCATGCAACCTTCTCTTTTCCAGGCGGAACAGCCCCAACTTTCTCAGCCTGTCTTCATCATCATGGTAAACTCTGCAGAAGTCACCAGTGGATGACTGACATTTCCACAAGCTTGTATTTCCATGCGCTTTTTCAAATGTTTGTTGCTATCTATAACACCAAGCAGGTCAGTGACAAGGTTTTTCACGTTTACTTGTGTTTTGGTTTTCAGGGTGTTTTTAAAGGCGAAGTGAAAAACAACAATGGCTGTTTTCAACCTTTCAGAGAAACATGATATTTACAAGGACTACATTTTTATGTTATTTTTTATTTGAAGTAATTGCAGCAAAAATGGAAATCAAATCGACCTCACAGTTAAATGAAAATATAACATTACTTGTTGTCCCTTTTGCAGATATTTACAATAGGCATGTCATTTGATACTGAAATATTGATCATCGTTAAAAGTGTGCTGTATTTATGTTGAGTATTCTGGAATTTGTCAATATATGTTTGAAATTTTTCTTCTTCACAGGTTATTTTCATACAAATGTTGACCTTTGTTTTCCTTTCCTAGACAATCTCTAATCCATTCTATCTGCAAATAGACTTGCAGCCTAAACTTAAAAACTCTCAAATGACAGCCAGAGTAATCACTACTCTTGTCCTTTCTGGTTAAACAGGGATTAGTGAATTTCCTGTATGTAGTCATAAAGCCATAGAGCACAAAAAGAAAGAAAAACATATTTAGTGAGCAAAAAGAAAAAGATGGCAATATACCATGAGTATTTCCGATAGCAAAAATATTAACAACCTAGTGTTTTGCCAAAATTACATCTCTCCAAAATCCTTAGATGGCTTTCAGAAATGCAAGAGTTTCCATCTTGGTGGGGAGAAAGGATGGGGGCAAAAAGAAGCAGTCTAACAAGATTATCAAACCTGTGTCATGGGCTTTTACATTCCTCGCCATTAAGAAACAAAAACTGAAATCTTAGAAGAAAGAAGTTTTACCTGCTCACGCATCCACAATGCAATAATGTAAAAACTGTGAATCAAGTTCAGAGAAGATATCTCAACTTTAGCTGGGCAATAAACGAATAGCAGATCCAAACTGAAAATCAAAGTTTTCAATACACATTGCAATAAATATATGTATTGGACACAGATTACTCCTCTAATGATCTGAAAGTTTGTATTCTGTTCTAAAAGCTATCTATTAAGCTAAACTTAAAATGTGCCACTGAAAAAATACTATGGACTTGTTCTAGGTTTAGGAGAAAAAAACTGATCTTTATATTGACTAATTTTGCCATTTGTAGTTGAATACATTTCTAGTGTTCTACCACTGTTAAATTGGTAGGTTTGTATTTCCACAGTGCTAGACTTGTTAATGACACAAAAAAAAACATTACTTACTTAGGGGCAATTGTGACAGTGTTTCCTTTAGGTAATGAGAAATCATCAGCATCTCTTCCAACAAGAATAGCATTGTACATCAAAGTTTTACGGCTTGGGTTTTTCAGACGCACCTATCGCAACAACAACAACAGCCTATTTTTACTCAATTTTTCAAGTATAAAAGGTGTGCTCTGCAGCTAAGTTCCAAAATATAGACCAAGGATATTACAAAATAAGAAAGTACTTCAAATATTTAGGTAGATGATTTTTTTCTTCTTAAGGAGCATAGACTTCCTACAGACTACCCAACCTCAGTTTTTCTGGGTACTCTTTTTGCAGTACACACTACCCTCTTATGCCTGTTAATGTCTTATTCCTCTCTGTCTTTTATCTCAGATTTGTAGATTTTTTCTGTGTTTACAAGCACAGGTAAAATCCAGCAACAGAATTCAGGATCCTAAGCCTGAAGAGATTAAAAAAGAAGATTCATACTTCCATCTTCTAGGTTTAGTAGCCAAATGACATGAAATCCATTGATTCATTGTGGTAATATACACATAATATCAACACATATATACATACAGTGTTTTGGCCTTGTACTGCTGCAGATCTAAATTTGATGGTATTAGTACCTGTTTAACAACAGTTGCATGGAGAGCACCTGTAAATTCTATAGTGTTCTTGGGTAAGTAGTGAGGGAGACTTTCATATAGGTAGACACACAGAATAAGCATCATGACTGGGTTTGGATCACAGATGTCACTGGCCTAATATTGGAAAGAAAAAAGAAAAAATAACCAGATATACTGTTAAAATTTTACCTGTATAGTTTAGAGATATGAAGATGAAAACCAAAAAGGTTATGGTAGTTCTTATTACACAAATATTTTCAACCTAACTTTTAACTGGATTAGGCTCATAGCTAAGACAAATACAAATCTTGACAGTGCACAAAAAAGCTAGTTCTTGAAGACCACTGACATGATCAGGTAACAAACCTAGGATAAGAATTAAAACCAATTCCTTTTCCCCACAGTTCAGTAGAAACCGATGTTCCTTTTGTGATAATGAAGTATTAATGAAAAAGTGAGTAAAATTCACTGACTGGAAAAACATATGTCTTTATTACCTTAAAAAAGAAAAAAAATCTTTTAAAATCTTTTGGTTTACTTTGTAAAATACCATCCCAAGTACTTCTACACATATTTTTGCAACTGTTTATGAAGACCCTGTCACCATTCAACTAATAACTATATAGTTATTTTTATTGAGATGCCAAATTGCTTTACAACAGGCAGCAAGTATTACTGCATCTTAAATATTTGATTTACAGAAATAAATAGCAACTGTGAAACTTGTCAAAGCTTTAGTACTCAGCAATTCTGGCAAGTTATTGAAAAGACAGAGGTAGACTCCATCAAATACGTGAACTTTTCAGAAAGCTAATAAAATAGTAAAGGGACTTAACGATGTGAGTTCCCAAAAATATAAGCAAGAAAGATCTGGCCACAGATTTAAACAAATGAGATTCTGTACTTCCTAATTCAAAGAAATTAAAGTCTTTTAAAACTTACTGATTAATAACTTTATAATACTTAAAATAGAGTGATTATGATGAAGTTGTCTATAATATACTAAATCAACTTTTACAACTGCAGTTAATTTCTCTCCTGGGTTAAGTGTGAAGAATATACTCAAAAATACACACACTTGGGAGTAGATTTAAGCAGCAAACCACTTCATTAAGCTGCCACACGTCATCCCATTAAAAGGTGTTTTTTTCATTGAAGACATTTTATTTCGATCCCTTACATAACTGAGAGTCATTCAGTATGGCAGTTTTGAAAAAGAGTCTCTTTTGCCTAATGCCTAGAAAGTGACTATCATTCTAAATGCTCTCACATTACAGGAAAATATTTGCCCAGTTCTCAAGCAAAAGACCCTGATCTATTGGGCCATTGCCGATTGTCGCTGTCATGCTCTCTAAGCAGCTTGGATGAGTTGCACATAACTACAGGCAATCTTACCCCACCACTCTAGAATAAAGCTTCCTTCTGCATGGTTTCATCAGATAATGAATTTGCAACTAAAACCACCCAAAGAACAGATCAAGCTCATTTTTATTTATTTTAATATTGACCTGTACATTACTTAGAAGCATTGTATATATATAAAGTCAATGTCTTTCAGATCTGCAAGGTCGTGTAAGAGAGCAAGGAAACAGGTACAAGACACTTTCAAATCCCAAGACTTTATCTTATGCAAAGTAGCTGTACTACTTGTTTTTTTAATCCACTAGGAACTCAACAACCTCTATGAGATACTTCATATATAAATACATTAGCAATAAGGAAAAAGCTTTTTCTAGTCAGCAACTATTGAAAGTTTCACATCCATTTCTGAGGACATGAACAAACAAGTCTCAAATGATATTACATTCTTTTGTAACACAAGCATACTTAGGAAGCCTACATTATTTTTGCACTGTCCTAACAAACAAGGAAAAAAGGCAAAACAAAACAGAACTATCTTAAATGGCATGTGTTTTTGTTTATCTGGAAGAGGAATGTGGAGCAATACATAACCGGTTTTATTTAGAACATCAGTTTTATTTGCACCAGTTTTTATTTACACCACCAGTTGAATTTAAGAACAAGTATACTATAGGGACCTGAATCTGTTTCATAAGCATGTACATGGCAGTTGTATCAATGGAAAAAGATCTAGAAAAACATCTGTAGCTTGTAGGCAAAAAGGGAAATCAAGAGTTGCATGGAATTAACAGTGTGCTCTCAATGTTCACCCTCATCTATCCTCCAAAAACTACTGCAAGTAAAACATCTCCTACTCACGTTAGCCCACACTGTGCATCAGAAAATCACGTGAGTTGGTAACAGCACACAGATCTCTTCAGGTGAGCAATAGCCACATCAATGACTGCTGCATAGATATAGCTTCCACGTGCACAAAAATGTCTTGCATGCATTGTAAGCACAAACATATTTGCTGATTCAAGGCTAGCAAGCTATCCGTAAATCCAGTATATAATTTCCCTGCTTTTCAGCATGTACATACTTCCCTCAGCAGACCTTTATAGAGAAGGCCTTGTAAGATAACCCAAGAAACCAGCGAGCCTGGAACTTATCAGATATGAAGCAAAAATTCACAGTAGAAGAATGTATTGTGATTCTGTGAGATCCCTCAGGAGAAAAGAGAAATTCTAACAGAAATTTGCTGGATGACTCCAGCTGTGGTAGCATGGAGAGAGAATGTGATATGCCAATGGATGCCTTGGTTATCTTTTCTGGGTAAGGTAAAAAAGCAATAAAAAATGGTAATGTGGCACTTTTGAGGAAGTCAGATTAATAAAATATTAAGTAAATAAATGCAGACCATCTAATAAAATGCGACATTAATTGAACTATGTTGAATAAGGAGCCTAGGTTTTTGTCACAACCACTCTTGTGAAATATTTTTAAAACTATTTATAAAACAGTTCTCTCTCTAGATAATACATCATATGTTCATGGGTAAATTTTCTTACCACTGTACCTTTTCAGAACCAAAACCTCTTAAAATTATGAGGATGAAGTTATATCAGCTTAATTTTCTTTTCTTACTTTGTCAGTAAAGAATCATTGTAATTTTTATTATGAATACTATTAAAATTTTCAGGGATCTCTGAGAATAACAGATATTCCTATATATTAATATTTCTTCTATGAACTACATTACACCAAGTTTTCACAGGATGACACTTCCAGCCCCGCAAGATTTTATTTTTATGACCAACTATATTCTTGTCCTTCAACATGAGATGATGTTTATTGCCTAAATGGAGCAGTATAGGAAAAACCCTCTAAAAATCTTTCTTTAATTGATTCTTATGAGGCAATTTTCATAATGAACCATCTATTTCAGAACCTCAGTACTCTCCAGCAGATTAATCAAGGGACTGACTATTATTTCTAAAACAGTAGGATAAAGAAAACAGAGCAACTATTTAGTCAGTCACCTGCTCACTGATGCGAGTCGATGTAGAAGCATTATTTGCATTAGTTAATATTTCACCTTAATATATGTCTGCTTCTAGATGAGCCAATTTTGTATTTCACTTAAAGAGAAAAATGCTAGACACAGATTGGGCGGAGAAGAGATTCAAAGCAGCCCTGTGGAGAAGGACTTGGGGGTGGTGATTGATGAGAAACTCGACATGAGCAGGCAGTGCGTGCTTGCAGCCCAGAAAGCCAACTGTATCCTGGGCTGTATCAAAAGAAGCATGACCAGCAAGTCAAAAGAGGTGATCCTGCCCCTCTACTCTGCTCTTGTGAGGCCTCACTTGGAGTATTGTGTACAGTTCTGGTGTCCTCAACATAAAAAGGACATGGAGCTGCTGGAGCAAGTCCAGAGGAGGGCCACAAGGATGATAAGAGGACTGGAGCACCTCCCATATGAAGACAAGCTGAGAAAGTTGGGGCTGTTCAGCCTGGAAAAGAGAAGGTTGCGTGGAGACTTTATAGCAGCCTTCCAGTATCTGAAGGGGGCCTACAAGGATGCTGGGGAGGGACTCTTTGTTAGGGACTCTAGTGGTAGGACAAGGGGTAATGGCTTTAAACTTAAACAGGGGAACTTTAGGTTAGATATAAGGAAGAAGTTCTTCACAGTGAGGGTGGCGAGGCACTGGAATAGGTTGCCCAAGGAAGTTGTGAAAGCTCCAACCCTGGAGGTGTTCAAGGCCAGGTTGGACAGAGCCTTGGGCGACATAGTTTAGTGTGTGGTGTCCCTGCTCATGGCAGGGGGTTGGAACTAGATGATCTTAAGGTCCTTTCCAACCCTAACTATTCTATGATTCTATAACAAGAAAATGTAGCAATTTTCTTAATCCAATAAAATTCTTGTAGAGATTGTATTTTCCCCTTGAGTATTAAGAACATAAAATGAAGAATAAATATCCAGATTCCTCAAACATCTGGAGAAAATATGACTTAATTAAGAGTGTTCCTAAACCATGGTCAGCTATAGAAATATGGTTTAAAGTTATGTTTTTCTTTCTTTTCCATTTATATTTCTCGAGGACTACAAAAATATCTTTTTTTTGCTTTTGACTTTCCACAGTACTTTGTTGTAGAACATGACTTAGCTAATATTAAAATACAGACCCCAAAGAGCCAAGATCTGTTCATTTCTTTGGTGTTAACTGATTATAGAGATTTGTTTAAATTCCTATTCCATATGGAGATGGACTTTCCCATACATCAAAACACCAATACCTGAAAAACATGCTGAACTAATAATACCATAGCATTTTAGATGCTGTAGTCTTAAAACACACTAAGTGTATTACAGAGAACGTCCTGGAGTTCTGCTTCCACGTTTAATGTGGTTAACTACTTTTGCATATCTGGCATCCAGCCTTTGCACAAAATACACCTTCATTCTGAGAGTTATAGCTAGATTATCTTTTTATGCTTCCTGTCAGTCACAAGTACATAAAGCAGTGGCTTTTAGCCTATCATAGTAAAGCTATTTATAACTGCATTTCTGTATCAGGATGTGGTAGCAAGACAGTAACCAATACAACTGAAAACAGAAGGGTTAATTTTCCCTGTAATCATAACACAATCAAATGGAGAAAAAAAAGATAGTTGTAATCGAGCTTCCTTTCATACTACTTTATTCACACCACACTTCTACCTCTGATTCCTAACACTATTAATTCCTTCGGAAAGTTTCCAACATACCAACAAATATCATGTTTATTCTACTG